ATTGATACATATACTTTCATATAAATCTATGATCAAAAGCAATTCACATTATTATATTTTAATTAACTTTCAATTATATTTTTATTCTTCTTTTTTTTTTGAAAGAGAGTACTTGACTCTTAACAAGTCATACATTAATAATCTCCTAGGACTCTTAAACATGGCATAATCATCATCTAAATTAAAATCATAGTTGACCATATAATCAGCTATCATGTTACTTTCACAACGGACATGTACTTAAGGAACTTCCCATTGTTTTGTAAAATATATTTGATTGCACATGTTAAATCCATATTCGCACACAAAAGTAACTTATTCACTAAAATCAATTGTACGACCTTATTATTTTCAATTTGAACCATCACCTTCTTAAACCCCAAATCCCAAACTAGTCCAAATTCGTAAAGCATTGCCTAGCCACAACTCAGCTCTACACATTGAACACGTGCCTAATTTTGCTATAAAGCCAGTTAAGGGTAAGTAAAACCAATTCAACTCAATTACTCACCCAAATCAAATATAATTTAGGTAAAACAATTTCGTCTAATTAGTCATTTGAATCAATTGGTCTAAAATATTTAGTTCAATTGATTTTTTGGTCGATTATCGGTTTTAAAATTTTTAAACCAATCCACTCAAAAAACCAAACTAGTTTTTTATACATTTATATATATATAATATTTTCATCTATATTAAGAAAAATTGATAATAAACTTAATTAATAATATACTTAAAATATATTAAGATATTATATATACATATACAAATCATACTCATAACAGTTTAATACTAGTTATATATATTTATTTATAAATATGTATTAATATGAAATTACAACTTATATATTTTAAATGATATAACTTATATGTTAATATTATAATATATTATAGTAAATATCCTACATATAAATATGTAATAATTATTACACTTTAGTTATTTTCATAATATAAAATATTATGAATATATATAATTGTATAAATATATTATATATACATATATTTATTTATACATAAACATTACTATAGTTTATAATAAACTTTATTTATATGATTACACACAATAATTTTATTAGTTTATCACCTTAGATTTTATAACATATTATTTATAATTAGTTATTATTTATACAAATTTTAATATCAAACATTATAACATCTAAGTTTTGTCATTAATTTCATATATATATATATATAATAAAGTCATATATTATATACACATATATTTAATTTATACATAAGCATTACTATAACTTATAATAAACTTTATTTATATGATGACACTTAATAACTTTATTAGTTATCACTTTAGATTTTATAACATATTGTTTATAATTAGTTATTATTTATACAAACTTTAATATAAAACATTTTAACCTATAATTTGTATCATTAATTTTATATATATAATAAAGTAATATATTATATATACATATATTTAATTTATACATAAGCATTACTACAATTTAAAATAAACTTTATTTATATGATTACACTTAATAAGTTTATTAGCAATCACCTTAAATTTTATAACATATTGTTTATAATTGGTTATTATTTATACAAACTTTGATATAAAACATTATAACATATAAGTTATATCATTAATTTCATATATATATATATATATAATTATGGATGAAGTTTATAAGTTTTAATATTATAATTTGTAAGAAAATAATAATAAAATTTTAATCTATTGGTTCTAAACTGAACTAATCAAACCACTTCTATATTTGGTCAATTTGATTTTTTTTATATTTCATCAGTTTTGGTCAATTTTTAAAAATGATTGATCTATTTGGTCCTTAAATATAATGGACCAAACTACTCAATTTACCCATTTGCTCACCCTTAAAGCCAACTTACTAATAACCCTTAAAATTGTGAATCACCCCCTATAATAGCTTTGCCTATTGATTTTTTTATATGATCCATCAAAATTTAAATTTATCCATCCAACTGGTGATGCTCTCCATCTAATCAATTCTTCTTATTTCCTTTGTCTTTGAATTGTTACACCATCAAAATCTGCAAATGTTATATTTGCAGCAATCAACATGCCTCTAACAAAACTCAAGCTATTTTCGATTAATATAGAAGTAGCATCAAATATAAAGCTATTGCGACACTTTCACAAATACCAAAACTGTAATCATAAATTAATTTTAATATACATCAATGCCTTTAAAATCAAGGATCTTTACCCGCTGTACTGCTGAACAAAGACATGGAAGTTTCCGTTTTTTCTTTTCTTTTCTGTAATGGTCTATTAACAATAATTAGTACGGAAAGGTTACCAAGTACTAGTTGATAGTTTGCAATTGTTTTATTATTTATTCTTAAAAGAGTATTAGTTTATAATTGATATGGCCGTGGTCCTGCCACTAAGTTTTCTTGTCTCACGCTGATATCTAGAAATATGACTGTTAACAATAATACTAATATTTAAATAAAGGCAAGTAGGGAGAGTGGATTCAGTGCCTTGCCTTCACTTTTATAAAGTCTTGATGAAGCTCTCCAAATAAAAGGGTTCTTCCGAATGTCTCATCACCAAGTTGGCTCCTCACCTGTTATAATTATGCTTATTATTTTCACACGTTTAGTACTGCAAATGACCTGACCCCATTCTTTTTTTTTTTTTGTGGTTTCATGCTTTTTCCTTCATTTATTGTGCCTTTTCTTGGAAAAAAAATTATCTTCATTAATTGTGCTTAACGCTTTACAATACCAACTTGCATAATCAAATCATTAATGGTGATGATAAGAGATCAGAGTTCCATCTATCAGTTGCAAATCGATCTTGAATAAAGATGTTAATGAGTATCTTATAATTAAATAGTTATCTTATATTATCCACTATGATAGATAAGATTTAGGTATCATATTAGCTATCATATAATTGGGCTCAAATATAATTCAACTATTAAAACTATCACTTGTCACAAGTTGAGTTTGAGTAGGGTTCAAGTAGTGGTTTTATGATACTCATTATCCAAGCTTAATTATAATTATTAATTTATAATATTAATTTTTTTCTTCAATTTTTAATATTAAATTTTAGTTTTATACATTGTTATTTTGTTTATAACTTTTGTATAATTAGTATAATAATTACTAAAATTTATTAATTGTTATAAATATGATGCTAAACTTTAATGTATTTTTTTATGAATTAACTGTAATTTATTAATTTAATTTTTATTAACAATATACAAACAGACAATTTTTAATTTATTTTAATTGGGTTTTTAATGGATAGCATCTAGAATATTCGGGTAACATTTCAAAAATTTAACAGGGTAACAATTTGAGTATTTATAAAGTACTTAAAAAATAATAAGTACTCTACCTCTTAAAATTCCTAATATTGAAAAAAAAATGATGAATTTGACCATTATTAATTACCTAGCCCCGTTTCAAAGTGAATAATCATATATTAATAGATTTGTACATGGTTCCACCAACCTAGAGAATTAAAATTAAAGACTGCACAGGTCATATGATTTTATATGCTAAACAACTTTAAATTGAAAATCCCACTTTAAAACAATATATTTGTATTATGGTGAAGTTGAAAGAAAATTATAGTTGAATTTAAGGTATCATTATTAATCTAAAAGCACATTATAATATATAGTACTGTGTAAAAATAAATATTATCAAAATGTGTAATAGAGGATTAATTAGATATTGAAAAGGGAAATAAAAGACAAATATAAGGGTTTATAGTTGATGCATTAATAGTATCTATACAATGTTAGTTCATCAAATGCTGTTATCTCATTAATAAGTTGAAATTAAAAATTTTCATGGACTTAAACTTAAATATTAAAAAGGTTTTAATAATTAATTAAAAAATAAAAAAAATCTCTCTCTAACTCCCTGACAATGTTTTTTTAATTGTTCTCCTTTTTATCACTTCTAAGTCCATTATCTTCTTCTCTTCTACTTCTTCCATTAAAATCTGATTTGGCAAATTGTTCAATATTACAAAATAATTTTTACTTGTTGACTTTGATAATATATTTTTTAAGTGATTTTTACATTTGATTTAGGGTTCAAATAAGTAAATCAATCTATTTTGCTAATTTGAGTTCAGCTTAAGTTAAAATTAAATCAAATAAATTTTAAATTTTTATATTATTATAAATAAAAAATTTATTTAAACTTTTTATATTATTTTATTCCAATATAATAGAAATTATTTTTCTAAATTTGACTTTAGGTAAGAAATTTTTTTCAAAGTTTTTCTTATAAAAGGAGAATTCAAACTTAATTTTTGCAAAGAAGATAAATTAATGTACATATTTTAGAATCAAATTTTAAGTAAAAAATATTTATATATATATTTTTAACACCATAAATCTTTTTACACTTAAATATTTAGCTTATTAATAAGTAAATCTATCAACTACTTAAAGATTTATATTTTTTAATTTTTTTTAATTTAGTCTCCCAATATCTTAATCTGGTTCAATTTAATCCATCTACTTTATTTTTTTGTTTAATTTAATCCCTAATGACATGGAACAATTTTTTTTTTGAATTTTTTTTTAATCTATCATGAGGCACTAACATCAACATGGTTATGTCATCATATTAATACCATGTGGCATTACTACTTCATCACATCGATATCGCATGGCATGCCACATCATCAAAATTATCACATCAGCACTGACATTATTCCATGACAAAATTGAATGTCATTAGGGAGAAGAACTAAATTAAAGCAAATATCAAAATCAATGGATTAAATTGCTTCGATTTTGAATATAATGACTAAATTGAAAAATATACATGAGTATATGACTTGGTGGGTATTTTGACATGATAAAAATGGTAAAAGAATAATACTATCACAACTTAATGGAGGATTCTTCTATTATAGTTAA